CTGTAGCAAAATATGTTCGACATGGCGTTTCTGAACGGCAGCCGGAGACACAGTAATTGTATAAGCATGGTTTAAGCTTGTTCGAGAGATAATAATAGTCGCGTTTAACAATAGATAGCGAGCTATAGTAAGACCCCTCCTCTTTAACTGATGATTTACACTGTTAATTGACCTTACTCTCGTATATTGTATGATCACACAGCCAGACTTCCCCCTGTTGCACGCTAGAGTTGGATTGTCCTTGCGCCTATGTCAATGCACCTCATTTAATTTCAATATTATAATATAAGCATAGTATAAGTAATATATTATTTCCTTATTCCTCTTTCATTATCATTCATGTTTAAAAATACTTGAATACTTGAATGCAGATGTTTCAAATTAAAACGTAAGTATATGAATAAATACTACATTTATAAATTAATGCAGTAAGAATTTTTTGAGACAGATTGATGCTGACGCTCATGCATCTCAATCAAACAAACAATACTTAGTTCAATTGTTGACTGCGGAAATTTCATATAGGATGAAATAACTGATAACAAATTTAACTAGCAGTTTGTTAGCAATACTAAAAACCAGCTGCGCGTGCCAAACTAGTGAACAAAAGGAAAGTTCGCTTCGCGTGGCACGCGTTAGCATGGGTTTTAGCCTCTTGAAGCTATAATCCTATCGCCGCAACAAACAATAGGGACCTTCTGGCTGATGTATCCTGCTGTTAATTACACCTAGTTACAGCGGATTGTCGCACTCGCACTGGACCACAGAAACCGGCGTCATGGGGTTCACTCGTCTGAAGTATTGTGTTATTCCACCTAAGCTATTGTGTTTGTGCGTTCGAATTTTGAAGGGATTTATACGGCCTTCCATTGTTTGTCCGCCCCCTTCTATTCACAAGATAGGGATTAAAACATTTCGAACGTTGTTACACCGGTGTACAACGGAAACAAAATTATTACTACCACTGTATATTAGAAGCGTTTTACATGGGAGGGGGGTCTACATATTCAATTTACAATGTGTATGCGTACATGAAGAACAATTGCATTATTTTAAAGAAGGTTTAATTAAGTTTTGTTTACATTAATACAAACACTGGATAATTTTTACAGAAAGTTTATTGTCCTTAAAACGTCCTATATTTTATCAAATTTTCAGCAAGCAATAATCTGTAAAATGAAGCAAATAAAAACAAACAATTTAAACACTGAAAATTCTTATGAAAATTAGGCTATTTAAGGGCCCTTTTATTACTTNCAACAAGGCAAAGGAGTTATGCAAAGTTCTTTCAACTCGTGTGTGAATACAACACATTCTTTGTCACTTTTACAAGACAATGGAGGCGAGCAAGTGGAGTAATTACAATATACAATAAAAAGGACATTAGTTTAGAAAGCTTACTTCGGGTCAGCCCTTTGCTTGTTCGAATGAAAGAGATAGATATCGCGCCGCGACTCCCTTTATTAAACCTTCGTTTGTTTGTGTAAAAGTGTGAAAGACAGGCAACGGTCTTGAGTCGCTGTTGATATTGTTCACGATTAATATTGAAGTATAACTCCTTCGCCTGCATGTAAACGTGTTACTTTTCCTCATGTTCACTATATTTCTTTTAGGTGGTTGAGATAAGGCGATGAGATTGATGAAAGTAGAGGTTAATCTAAACAATTAAGTGCAATTTTTGTGAAATGACTTATTAAGTAATGTGCATGTACCTAGCATGTTTAAATATTTGAATTTCTAATTTGAAAAATCTTTCATACACGGCCTCATATTTGTATTGCTCTCAGGCCATACTGTACTCTTCGATATTATTGTGTTACAAGGGACTCCTGGAAACTTGAAGCACAGGGCATTGTGAAAGTTAATTCGCTACGGAGTCTTGTTATCCTTCATGCAGTTTTATAGCTGGGATGAACACTGTGAAGTAGAAACAGGATTTACTTAGCTTTACTTAATTTACGACAGTTTAAACAAAACCAGTCTGCAAGGCTTGCTTTGATTTGGTGTTAACCTGACACTGGTTTTAAAAGAACAAATATAAATATGTTGGATGGATTAAATCACCGACTTCGTTATACTTTAACTAAATGTGTTCATTTGCACAGTGACACAGATAATATTTATAAGTTGTCTGTCGTTCAGCACGCATTATAGGCGAGTAGCTAAACAGTGACGATGATCAATCCAAGCACAATCTAGGCAAGTATTGTTTACAAAATAGATCATGATGAATAAACTTAATTACGCTTTAATAAATAATCAACACACGGTTCGGTTATTGTCACTTGAAAGCTTTCGATCAAAGACGTTCAATGAAATCACAAATCATCCGACGATTAAAAAATGGACAGGTTCAAGGTGCAGTTTTTGTTTCAGCTAAAGGGACTTCAGGTTCAGGTAGAGGGTTCAGTTACGTGTTTCATTGGATGATAGTAGCATCAAGCCCTAGATCTAAGCGAGTTGAATAGAAGCTTTTATCCAAGCATCCTATTCATAACTACTGAGTTAGGACAAAGGTCTAGTAACATGCACTGTGCAATTACTATTAATATATCAGTTGCATACTTGATTGATTTTCCTCAGGTGTCGCACGTATGCATTCTTTCTTGAGTGATCTAAAACGAGTCGCTAGTGTACCATGTCTCTCACTGTAGCAAAATATGTTCGACATGGCGTTTCTGAACGGCAGCCGGAGACACAGTAATTGTATAAGCATGGTTTAAGCTTGTTCGAGAGATAATAATAGTCGCGTTTAACAATAGATAGCGAGCTATAGTAAGACCCCTCCTCTTTAACTGATGATTTACACTGTTAATTGACCTTACTCTCGTATATTGTATGATCACACAGCCAGACTTCCCCCTGTTGCACGCTAGAGTTGGATTGTCCTTGCGCCTATGTCAATGCACCTCATTTAATTTCAATATTATAATATAAGCATAGTATAAGTAATATATTATTTCCTTATTCCTCTTTCATTATCATTCATGTTTTAAAAATACTTGAATACTTGAATGCAGATGTTTCAAATTAAAACGTAAGTATATGAATAAATTATACATTTATAAATTAATGCAGTAAGAATTTTTTGAGACAGATTGATGCTGACGCTCATGCATCTCAATCAAACAAACAATACTTAGTTCAATTTTTGACTGCGGAAATTTCATATAGGATGAAATAACTGATAACAAATTTAACTAGCAGTTTGTTAGCAACACTAAAAACCAGCTGCGCGTGCCAAACTAGTGAACAAAAGGAAAGTTCGCTTCGAGTGGCACGCGTTAGCACGGATAAAGTGGTGTTGGCGTCCCGCTGCGGCTTCAACAGCTTATTTTGACAAGGCTCGCGCTACGTGCTGGCTTGAGAAAAACATCATTGTTAAACCTTAATGCCGATGCGTTAATTACTTATGGTCGCATTGTCTTCTTCCCACGGCGACCATTCATAAAAAGGGGGCTTAGTTAGGTATTAGACGATTTTTTAAATCACCCAACGCGTTAGTGGTGCGTTATCCTCTGACTTAATCCGTTACCTGTAAAATGATTCATTGCGCTAGAGTGCACGCAAGGATCAATCGTATTAACTCATGGTGTAATATCTGCCAAATTGATGGGGCATCCACACTCATCAAAGATAATTGTTGTCGTAATGGAGAAATTTTTAATACCAAAAGTGAAAACGGAGCGTTTTAAATCATCTTTTATAATGCACAGTCTTTTAAATTTTATGTAAATTACTGCTTCAAACTGTCTTATAAGTCTTGTTTTATCTTTGGTCCTTTAGTTTAAAAATTTTAGTTAATTTTAAAATACCTTATGATTTTATTATTTAAGACACATTGTAAAACTTCAACCTTTAGGTTGCGATTTTAGCAAATAAATTATTATTATTATTAAATTGCACTAAAAGCCACATTAAAACCCGTTTGGGCCATCAGCCTAATTAGCCGCGGTCACTGTGTAAATTAGTCTCTTTGCTTCTATCAATCAACGCAAGGTATTTAAAAGGCCATTTGACTAATTTGTCGTTTTGATGCCTTCACGGAAACGGAACGTTTGCATTGACATGTTATTATCTAAGATAACCAGTGTTATTTCAAATATCCCTTGTGCTTGTCATCCCAATTAAACAAAACTTAAAAAGTCCGTTTTTTGACACTGGGCGCGGCGTTTATTTCAGTCGCCGACTAGTCGCCCGTATATCTACTAAATAGACGAGAAAAAATTAATGGCTCTGAGAATTTTTATCTGATGAACCTTTGACGGGTCCATAGAATAGATTCAAACACAATTTGGTCAAACAGTAGAAGACTACAAAAATAGAGGCAGTACAATTTGCTTCAATTATGTGGTCATATTGTCTAAGTTTCATTATTCTCTGCATTTTGAAAACAACCAACAGAACCGAAGTTCGATCAAAATACAACATGGATGGATACACTTAATTTGATAACTGCATCTCACTTCTAATTTACTCAATATGGTAGTTTGAGAATTGTCTTTGATCTATCATTACATGTCTTGTTTCATTGCACGGCCATTTGGTCTGACCAAATAGTATGGAAATATCAATTAAAGGAATTGGATGTTGATTTAGTGCTCCATTCCCATTAGGACAGTGCTGTGTTCGCGCTAGTTACGATGCTTTTTATCAATCCAACCAATAAAAATGCAAATAGAACTGTATTCCTTACCAAATTGCCTTCATTTCCGCATCACATTTATTTTAACATTTAATGAAAGAACCATATCACTTAATTTTTAATCATAACATACACATAAACCACACTCCTAATAATTCATTCGGGTTGAATTTAATTGCCTCTATTGTAATTGGTTTGGGTTCATTGTTGTTCGAACCTGTTGTAGAGAAATATGTAAGCGTCATGATAAATTAGGCCTTTATTGTGATCGATTGCGAAAGTAGCACTTAAGTCAATTGATATGCTATTTCCCTAATTGGTTAATTGTCCGTTGTTTTTATTTTCTCGTTTGCAGAGAGAAGAAACAAATCCGCCTAGAGGACGCCATAAGTGAGAACTTTACCTGAGTCTCCAGTTGTATCCATCCACAGGAGAATATTGTCAAATCACGAATTTAACCATTCACCAATTAACACTTTTTGTGAATATATATTTGCACGGCACTACTTGCCCATAACATATAAACCAGAGGAAAACCTGAAAAGCAAAATCATGTCGGCTGGGATAATTTTCCTTATTCTGGCTTCATTGGTATTTTCACCAGAAATGAGCTCAAGTCAGCTTAGTGGTCCACCATTGCCGCTGCCGATGTCTTTACAGCAAGCAGAGAACGGAGTTCCTTTTCAAAGCCAAGATGACACGCGCCGTCCTGGGCTATACCCATTGAATTTCATGCAGACGATACCTTTACATAATGGATCTCAAGAAAGGCACGATCTAGTCGGAGTCTTTTTTGAACAATTTTTCTTAGAATATTCACCAGGATGTGACAACGACTACGTTGTGATTATAAAGCGTGTTTTGGAAAATAATGAAATATTATGGGGACCCATTTGCGGCCAACAAGGGGCATTTATGAGAACCCTCGATCCGAACATCTTCAATGTCATGCTACTTTTTAAACCAATCGGACACTTGGATATGATCTTCAGCAGTGATTTTGAGATACCCTCAACAGGTTTTACTGGGTATATCCTCAATATCAGCACGATGAATGATTTTTTACCGTGCACACATTTCATTGAATCATTGAGGGGTTGGATCAAAGTACACAGCGGTATTACAAACGGAATACCTCAGTGTAAATTTTACCTAACTGCCCCTGCGGACCACGTGATAAATGTGACAGTTCCTATTCATAAAAACGAAACATGCGGGGATTTTACTTTTTATGATAATGATGAAGGGGTGGAAAAACTTTTGGGTAAACACCAGGTGAACAGAACTTCGACAACATTTTCTATTCACGGCAACACGGACCAAATGGTTATTACGTTCACAGAATGTAGTGGATTCTTTGGAGATATAATAGCAAACTACGTTGCTGTTCCCAGGGAGAGAATGGAGAGTAGCCTTTGTCCTGGTGCTTACAAACTTTTTGAAGGTTTTTGTTACTCGTTTAAAAGATATTCTGCGCCCTTGACTTGGCAGAAAGCAGAACGCGACTGTGTAGAGGAAAACGCCCATCTTGTCAGTATCCAAAGCAGACGAGAGATGCGCTTCCTTAACAGGTTGCTGAACAGTCATGGTGTGCTGCATGTAAACGATGTCTGTGATTCCTATCACACAAACAGCGGCGTTTTTATTGGGTTACAATCCACAGATGGGGTAAGTATATACGTACATAAATGCCGGCACTACAATTGTTAGAAAATTCGGTCAGGTCAGTGACGCACCCATTTTGAGTACATTTGCATAAGAATTTTATATCACTCTTTCATTTAATAATTGGTCTTTCTTTCATTGGATGGAACAAAAGTGTAAAACAACATGTGATGGTGTAAGTCAGAATTGTGCAAATAATACAGGACAAATTTGAGCGTCACTTGACTTAGAGCGACACATTTTTGTGGAATGACCCAGAAGAGCTGCTATATGTACATGTATGATAATTAACTTTTACATTATTAAAGGGTGAAAATAGTGGTAATGTGGATAGATATAAGTAAGAAGGTTACATTGAGAGCGGTACCCAGTAGGAACTAGATCCCCTGCATAGCGTGGACCTTCCACGCGGCATAAAAGAGCGCCAGTATTTGGCGAAAACCGCATCCAACGTTTACCTCAGAAAAGCATATTGGCCGTTTTTAAATATCATCCGTGTACATATTAAAGTTATTTGTCCAGCAAAACGTGGTAAAATTAACAAAGACTTTTCAGTTCTTCTTATTACGTTTGTTTAAATAATTTGTGTATCAGTATATAAAGAGTATATAAAGACCAGCTAGACTCACATCTCCACGCAATGAAACGCCATGTTTTTCTCAAACACAACTTTACGTTTTATGAATTATATCCCCTTGTTTTCTCATATGTCCCTACGAATTTTGTTTTGGTTTTAAAGTCAATATTTGTTTCAGTTAACTATATTCAACTGGACTGACGGGAGTGCGTATACATATGCAGAATGGTACGGGCCTGTGAAATACGGATTCAATGAATACGATATTCCCGATTTCGTTGAAGCTGTTGTGATGGAATACCTTTTACAACCGGTTCCAGACCGTACTCTTACGTGCTCGTTAATGATGCCTTTTTATCCAGAAAAAGGACATCCACATGGGAAAAGTCGGTGGGCAAACTGGGCTAAAACACCTTGCCAGCGACCTATTTGCTGCATGAGCTCCGTTTGCAAGAAAGCAGCCAATCCTTTGGACGTCGGACTGAACCAACCAACGACGAATCTGCCCCACATAGCTCTGGTCCCAACAACGAATATAAGTGCACTGAAAAGTAAAGAGTCTTTCACACCAAGACATTACTGCCCCGAGAAATGGGTGTACATCAGCGGGCGATGCTTTCACTTGTATCGACTAGATAATTTCGGATTGCTTCATATAGCCCTGACGGATAAAACTAAATACCTCACGTATTCCCGATCCTACCACTGGTTCACAGAAGGTAAATACAATCTCACTTTTAGAAGTGCAGTAGAAAGGTGCAAATCTATCGGGGGAGAAGTGGCAATATTCGATGATTTCTCATTCTCGAGTAGCGAATTTATACAATATTATCATAGGATCTGGGCCAAAGAAACTCAGTGGGTGAACCAGAGCGCCATCTTAGGATCTGGTACCGAAAGAAATGTCAAATTGTTTTCTCATTTTGAATCCCCTTGGTTCCGACTGCCTTCCGGAGCATGTGCACGCTCGTCAATGCCTGGACAAATGCCCGGATGGTTTATGTCACAGCCATATAACAACTGCATGTCTGACACAACACAAGGTTCTCTTTTTGCTCTCTGCGAGACGGCTGTGCTATCAGAAAAACAAGACTGTTCCACACATCAGTACCGGTGTAGTGACGGGACATGTATATCTGTGAGAAACATTTGCGACGGGGAAAATGATTGTCTACGCGGAGAGGACGAACTCAATTGTTTTTGTGGTACAGATAGCTTTCGCTGCACGAACGCTTCATGCATTCCTATAAGTAAGGTGTGTGATCACGTGTCTGACTGCGCAGACGGTAGTGACGAAGACTGGTGCTTATTTCCAGCTTGCAATGAAAAACAGAATATATGCCCTCATGGACAATGCAAAAACACAGCTTCCCCATGCAATCTGAGTCGTGGACTCAAAAACCCTGACGGTTCTCTGCTCGGCTCTTCCAAAGTGAACTCAACACAAATGGACGCATGCGCCAATGGCTTCCAGTGCTATACGGGTGAATGCGTGTCCGCTAAAAGTATCGACGACCGGTACCCTGACTGTCCGGGCTTCTCCCAGGAGGACGAGCCTGTGCTTGCCATGCCAAATGAGGGTGAAACCAACTGCGGAGTGGGCATATTCGCTCGACCAATAAACCTAACGTACTGTCCATCTCTTGACCAAATTAGATGCACCCCTGGCCACACAAGTTGCTTCCCACGACACTTAGCTTGCATTCACGATAAAGAGCAAGTGAAAGCATTAAACACATGCAGACATTTTGAGCATCTTCAGCAGTGCCAGACGTATGAATGCCCCAGTATGTTTAAATGTTCGAACACATACTGCATTCCACTGCGACAGGTCTGCGACGGAGAAAAAGATTGTCCTCGCGGGGAAGACGAGGATGAGGCGAGATGCACCAATCATACGTGTCCAGGTCATTTTCGGTGTATAGGAGAACGACAGTGTTTGCACCAGAGTGAGGTATGCAATGGTGTAGTGAATTGTATACATTCGAATGACGACGAAGTTTTCTGTGATATAAATGCGACCTTACCCAGTAGTTGCAAGCACAAAGGATACTTTCTGGACTGTACGGGGCAAGGACTAAGTTCCATACCAAAGTACTCTCCCGATATCAGAGGACTGGCTTTTGCGAGAAACAATCTCTCCCTTAGCAATGAAACATTTAATGGACACTTCTTATTAGTTAGATTGAATATAAGTTTCAATAATTTGAAAATGATTCCCCCAGGGGCATTTTCACACTTGAACAATGTTATAGATTTGGATCTGTCTTACAATCAGATAACGGATTTTGTCGCTAATTGCTTTACCGGACTGGTCAATCTTAAGAACCTGATACTTGAAGGGAACCCCTTGCAACATATAGAGCCTGGCGCATTTGAAGGCTTAAGTAATTTGAAAGTTTTGAACCTCAGCTTCCTGAACATCCAGACTTTGGCCCAAAATACTTTTAGGGGCTTGAAGACTCTATCCATTCTTAACATAAGCTTTAACACATTGTCGTCCGTGGCAGACGGTGCATTTAAGGGTCTACCAAGGCTACATGAATTAGATATGACGGGTAACAAGGACGTACTAGTTGAACCTGACGCATTTATAGAATTTCAGGCGGACTTGTTAAAGTCAGACCAATTTGGCATTTGTTGCCTGGCTCAGCGAAAAGGTAAAGTTGACGTTTGTTTTCCACCAAAAGACGAGTTCTCCTCCTGTTCCGACCTGTTGCAAAATCAATTTCTGCAGGTGTCCATTTGGGTTATGGGAATTTTGGCATGCTTGGGTAATGCAGTCGTCCTCATATATTGGCTAAGAAAGAAAGAATCTGCTGCCTCTAGTATACTGGTGATGAACCTTGCATTGGCGGATCTCTTCATGGGGGTGTATCTTATCATTATAGCCTCAGCGGATACAATCCACCGTGGAATATATGCCTCACATGCTGTCAAATGGATGTCTAGTGGTATGTGTAAATTTGCAGGGTTTATGTCCATGGTTTCCAGTGAAATGTCCGTGGTGATCTTAGTTTTAATTACGGCGGATAGACTGGTGTCTATCGTTTATGCCATGAAGATGAAAAAGATTGGTACGAAAAAAAGCTTACTGATGGCTGGTGTTAGTTGGGTGTTATTTCTGATTTTAAGTGCAGCTCCTCTCGTAGAAGTGGGGTACTTCAAAGATTTTTACGGGCACAACTCGGTCTGTTTACCGTTCACGTTGAGCAGGGTTGAGTTCGGGGGCAGGGAATACGCCTATGTAATATTCGTATTTTTCAATTTTGCTGCCTTTCTTTTCATGTTTTCTGCGTATGTTGCAATTTTAAAATATGTGTACGAATCACGCAAGCACTCAGGGAGAGAGGAGACAGATAGGGATGTGCAGTTATTAAAAAAGATATCCCTGATTTTGATTACTGATTTTTTGTGCTGGGCCCCAGTTACGGTGCTGGGGATTTTGAGCATGGCAGGCGTTCCAATTAGTCCTGAGGTCTCAAGTTGGGTCGCAGTCTTTATCTTACCTATCAACTCCGCCATGAACCCGATATTATACACTCTAGCCAATATCAAGATATGTGGGAAGCTTAAGAAGAAATGGCGCAATTCCCTTTCTAATTCATATACTAAACACAGTTCTAGCAAGGAACACACTGCTGAGACAAAAATGTAATAAGAAGATTAAAGCAGCATTTGTCCCAAAGTTCAGATTTTTTTCTTTGGTATTTAACAACTATAGTGCCCATTAGTAATTTTTAAATTATGTGAAACTTGTTGTCCATTCTTTTGGAAGTTATCGACAAAAAAGAGGCTATCTATTACAATGTACCTAGAAAGATTTAATTCTATGGTAAAAGAAACCCATATTTCAACAAAGTTTTATATTTTAATTGGTAACAGAGAAAAATCTGATCTCAGGGTTTGAAGTCGTGGGAACACCTGACCTAATCATCTGAACCAGTATCCAAAACATGTAGTGACTCCCTTTATTTTGATACACTTATTTTGTGTTGCTTTGTACACGTGTTTTATGTACTTTATGATAAATCTTTATAGACAGTAAATGCATGTATAATTTTGAATCATGCATATGTGTGCATGAGTATTTGTCGCAACATGATACCATTGCGGGTTGTAGGTACCCCGGTAACTGAACATACAAAAATATTATGATAACCATTTCACAGTTCGTTCTTCGCCCAAGGGAACCACCCAAATAAGGTATTTTAATTATATTAAATATATTAAAATTGGAACCTAGCCCAATTTCATCGACACGCTTCGCAAATAAAAATATTGCCAACTTAAAGATCTGGTTAATATAGCCTAAACCACCTAAATGAACTCGTATTGATTTTTACCGATACATTAGGGCTTGTGAATAGGAGTAAGACTCCGAAGCGTATAGTAAAATGTAATGCCACATGCAGTCAAACTGGTGCTGTACAGAAACACCATCTCGATATGAAAAGGACCATATATACTCCATTTGGCGAAACCTCACTAATTTATATCATCAAGTGTTATATACTACGGGTCTATCAACGCTGGTGCTAGAGAGTCGTGTTATTGAACTAATTGATCAATCACATCTAAAGGCAGCCCCACAAGCACCACATTTGGTGTTAATTTGAATTAGAGCAAATCAACATATTACGTGGCAAATAATTCAACTACTGTATGTTGTTCATTTGTATAATAAATAGAAATGATGAAACGAGTGGTATGTATTATTTATTTTTTTCTAATTTATTAAATTGGCTTGAATTCTTGTTGTGCTGACATAGCTCTCATTTACTTACATTGGTTTAATATAAAAACAATTCCTCAAAAATTGGCATCTAATGGATAAAAGCTTACCAAACCTTAGGCCCTGGAATAATAAATGTAACCACTATTAGACAAAGCTATCCCACGCACACTGTACGGCCCATCAACTGACCTGTTTTGACACACACTTGACTAAAAACAGCTAGTACTGACAAACGGGTATTATTTAGATCTAGGAAAGTTAGAAATTGCAAAAAAAAAAAAAAATAATAATAATAATAAAAAATAATAATAATAATAATAATAAAAAAATAATAATAATAAATAAATAAATAAAAATAAAATAAAATAAGAGCAAACCTGTTATGTAGATTTTGCTAAAAATATCGACAAAGGGCGGCTAGACGAAATATATGTCATGTACAAGAACAAAGACTTGGTTTTTTTAACTAGCATGTCAGATTTTTGGGGATATGTTGGGAATTTTTACTTTTTTTATTTTTCTGTTACACCCCCTTTGTTCTCCATTTAGTCATTTTTAGGGGTCAGGTTGCATTGAAAAGCGTTAGAAGAAACATTGTATTGTTCCTTATTACCCATATTGCACGCATCTGTGGACCAAAATTCGTTCATTTTGGCTACTAGGCAATCTGCGCGTGACATCTATTTTTGCCAATAGTTTACAGGTGAGGATTAAAACATTTAAAAACATGAAATACGTACAAAAAGAACGATGTATAAACGTAAACTATGTCAATTTTTCTGTCACCGGAATCACTCTGCACTATAAATGTCGTTATCAACCATGACACATTCCTCCAAACCGGCAGTTTCTTTCTGATCTGAGTTGTTATGCTGACCATTACGCACCCTCTCCCCCGTAGAAGCGTACATATCATTCGAAACAAGGTAGACGTTAGTGTCTGCTGGTTCCATGGTCTCTTTAAAGCGAGGAATCATGTTGTTTTGTTGTTCGGAAGGTTCTTCACCTAGCCGGCCACTTTGATGCACTGCAATATCCACATTTGAATCTGTTGCAAGTTGATAAGGAGAGTAGTCATTTTCTACTCGGGTTACAGGAAGGTTTAAATTTTCAGCAGGATTCGTGTCTCTTTTTCTAATAATAAAAATATGGAAAATAATTAAAACTAATCATGGCAACCAATTAACTTTTGTGTGCAATATATTTTGCGCCTGTATGGTAAAAAAGAAAACGAATCAGAATTTGATGTTATGCATGTTTATGTACATATTTAAAAAGTAAAAAGAACGAACAAATGTTAAAATAACAAAAATAAGTAATCACAGAATAAAACGTTTTTAAAAGTGGGCAAGTATCAGACACAATGACTAAATAAACCCTTACCGTTTGCGCCGTCGCAGACACAGCAGGGCAATTATAATAACCAACAACATCAGTAAAAATGCTCCAATACCAATCCCGATCCCCAGGGCCATAACTGAAAATTACAGAAAACGTATATTTAACTCAGTTACAACGGCTTGAAAGATATTGTTTTTAATAATGCGTTGATTGCGTTAAGTAGTGTTGAAATTTTCAATTTTCATTTCACTAATATAAGGCCTTTCTTAGATTCCTACTGTATAGTGTTTACAGGAAGATACTTATGCAGATCAAAGTAAATCACAGTCAAATTTTGGTATCAGATGTAGACCTTACACTCTTTGAATAGAGTAGGTAATACCCCCCCCCCCTACAATCAGCAAACACCAAGATTAAAACAGCTCAATCACCAATCGCCAAGATATATTCAGGCCAATCACCAATCGCCCAAAATTCCTGAATCACTTTCCACGCAGATGTTGGGCTCAAAACGCACCACGCTCAAAAAAATAAAGTTAATCACGCGGAACACATAAGGTATTCTCTACCCTCTTTGAAGCTCGAGATGAATCTTTTTGTTTGTCACCAACCAAACTCAAAAAGTCATGGGTGGATTTTGACAAAAATTTCAGGATAAACCAAGAAATTGGTGTTGAGGAAGATCAGCGTCTAGATTCGGGGATTTTCTATAGGTAAAGTTCTTTGCTATGGCGAGTTAGGGGCTCTGACTACTCAAAAATCGCCCTTGGATGGATGTGCTCTCAACTACCACAATTAATCAGCGCGAAGTTTGGATATCATGCATCGTTACCAAGTTTTGTTGAATATGAGCTCCGCCAAAGAGATTATCTAAGCTAATTAAATTATTGATCAATTAATTTAATAAATAAAAAATGATAAAGAGTATTGGGCTACCTTGCCGGAGGTCTGTGCTAGATGAATGCTCTTCTTGTTTTAAATAATGTATGCAATGTATTACATTTCTTTTAAATGGCAATTCAAGTTTTAGGGATATAAGCTCACCTGATGATAAAGTATCTTCGGTGGACCGTCCTCCATGGATAGGTGTGGTGGTATCACGGATGCCTGTTATACCTGATCAAGTGCGTTAAAGATTAATCACGTACTGTACGTGAACTACAAAAATCAGGCAGTACATTGAAAATCGAAAAACAAACATCTTGCATAATCTAAAACAATTACAGATAAAAGATGAAGAATTTCTTGAAGATTCTCCCTGCTTAATTGTTTATGAGTTTTATAAATGTATCAGTCTAAATACAAACTCCAATAGCCGAGAGTACCGTGATACCCGCTTCATCTCACCTGTGGAGGTATTGTTTCCAGTAGATGAGTAGACCGTTGAAAGTGTTGTGGAATCTTCTGAAGTAATGGTGTTGTGTGATGAACCTGCCAGTATATGGATTTTCTCTAGTAGCCGTAGTTCACAAAAAGATGATGTTCTTTATTTTTAATACTCTATTTGACTCATGATTTATTGTGTTGTATAATATCTAAGAAAAGGAGACAGCTTCTTACATCAAACATAATTTTTAACTTCCACATTTAAATTGCTGAACTCTCCAATTCCTTTTGCTTACCCAAACATACTGGGGGGTCTCCAGTCCACGTGAAGTCAAACATGCATGTTCTTGTTAAACTACCAGCTGACAGTGTCAAGTTTGGAATACAGTTATACAAGATTTTTTCGCCAACATTCACATAAGTCACATTTGACTGCTCCCGCGTGGCGTTCACGGTATTGTCAGGTACGACACATTTGCCTAGGAGAACAAAGCAATTGCACAAGAGTAATCAAATCTTTGTTGAATTTATTTCTATGTAGATGTTTAAAATAATCATCAGTTTGGTAGATCATAGAAATGAAATAACTCTTTTGTCACACACTAATTACAAAAACAAAATTTTAACCACTAACATTAAATATTTCCTAAAGACAAACTAGATCCAGCAGATAGGGTTTATTTCATCAAATGCCCCAGTTGTGAAGAATATTACATTGGAAGTTAAATTTCAGACATAAAGTTAAATTTCGGAGGAACACGGGGAAGACGTTAAAAAGTAAATGAAGGAAAAATTATATCACAGCACAAAGGAAACAACCCACACAAGAAAGGTGGTAATCAGCCATCACGGCTCCACCATACAAGTAAACAGAAACATATTATGAACTGCGAGAGTGCAAGGATTCTACAAAACAAAGTGGCTTGAGAACTACGGGAATAAAGGAAGTCATATGGATCCGGAAAACACCGAAAAATCGTAACAAAGACAAAGGCAGAAACACTCCCAGCACCTGAAGGATGATCTGTTAGCCTCGTCACTAAGAAGGGGGTGGGCAGCATCAAATACCCTGTAGCTTACCATGTTACACAACGTCATTTGTGTCACTCGGGGACTGACAAAGATGACCGACGTTCCATTGCATTATTCCACGTGAGTGATAAACGTTTTATAATTACTATAGTTTGTGGCAAAAAAGCATTTTCATTGCGCTTTTAATGTACTTTGATGAAATAAGTGTTCTTACCCACTCCATATTCTCTTATTTCATAGGCCTTACATTAAATGATTTTAAAAGGAAAACGCCAATTACTGCAGCGTGCGTGGATTTTGTAGTGCATGTACCCGGTACCTCGCAATGCTATAAAAAGAAATGTGTCCTGAATTTGTGGACCAGTGTAATTTGCCTTATAATCACCCATCAGTTACTACTTACTCATGCATGTTTTTTTTCCTGAGTTTGTGTCTAGGACAGGATGGAACCCTTGGTTGCAGGTATTATAACAATTGTGGTTTGATAAACACGTTTGGTGAACATGACAGTCGGCGTTAAACTGACATTCATCTGTATCTGAAAACATACTTCAAATTGCATTATATCATCATTAAGTAACCAAGTTAATGGAAGCCCACTATTATCAACACGTATGTGTTTTAACATTATTAAAATATTTGAAATTCATTAGGATATACTTGGCATGCTAATGTTTCAGAGAATTACCTTCACAGTGACTTCCATTCGTTAACCGCCGCCCTGTTTTGCATCCACAGAAATGGTTTTGGTTTACTACAATACACATGTCGTCACACACCGGACTGGTACACTGCTGACCTATCGAAATATTGAGGCTAAATAAATTCATTATCTTAGAAGTATTCAGAGGATATCAAACAAGTACAGTTATCCAATATTACCTGTATTGTGTGTGTGTGTGTGTGTTTGTGTGTATTTCGGGGGTGGGAGGAGTTTAATATAACGAGCGTCGTTAACAGTTGATATTACCTTCTCGGCGACAATGTGCGGTGTCAATGTGAATAGCGATGGCACTTGAAAGTAGTTGTCCCGGCTGTAAAGTGCCCAATGACATTGCACATACATTTGCACTTGTGAAGCAATCACAAAGGTTAACATACGGCTTCCAGGTGACGCTTACACATTGACCATTTGAAATTTTATCTAGACACTGTCGGATGGTAGATGTTTGATACGAATTTTGTGCTGGAGTTTGGTCAGGATATACTGTTAAGTTAAAGTGAGACGGCAGTGAAATATCTGAAAAGTAAAAGAATAACGATATCTTCACACACACACAAATAAAATAGGGTATATAGCCTACCTGTACAAATAATTCCTTCCAAAATTCCCTTTTAGCGAGTCACAAAAAGGGCAAAAAACACATGTAGGCCTACTGTATGGTGATTGAGAGCGTGTTTGTTATCAACTGATCTGGTGCAGAACTGAAAGTTGTCAAAAAGTTTACAAGCAGCTTAAAACTGCATGTAATTATGGAAGCATACTAAGGGGCAACACGTTTACATGTCCATACAAGGGTCAGATCGAAAGCCTAATTATTGGCAGCAATCTACCGACATATTACCTCTACTAAAACAATGAAACCATCCCGTGAAGTTCACCCAACCACTCCTATAGTATTGCCATGGCGAGGACAGCTCTGTTTCTATCAGATCAACCGCAGTAGGGACTGAACGAGCATGGAGTGACGACGTGCCATCACGGATGATCCAGTGAGATGAATTATACACCACCTCAAAGTAAGACGTACCACCCTGACTGTGGGTTTTCATGTATCTTGGCATATTGTTCATGGTACCATTTCTGTAGTAAAACCCCAGCAGTTCCGTCTTCTCATAATGTCTAATATCTCGCGGTCTGAATAACCACAGGTAACATGTACCTAAAACGGATTGTGCATTAAGAAAACGAGACGATTTTAAATCCAAAGAATCTGAAATATTTTCACTTTTAGGTACGCTGTGAGAATAAAAAGAAAGGAAAAACTTGTTCACTAGTCATGTATTTATCCTTCAACCGCCACCGTAAAAAAACTTAATAGTATGGCGCTGAAAAGATGGTGGAACCAGGATATAGGGAAGGTGGGAGCACAAGAATAACATGTTTGGTCTCACTTTGTTCAACAAATATACATGTAAATACACCCGCGGGAGTAACAGTAGATCAGGACATTTTACTATGACAAGTAGAGCAAAGTGATGGAAAAAATGATGGGTTTTGTCTTGTTTGACTCGTTTCACTTTTTAAGGGTTAAGGAGAGAGAAGGGCGTACCACTGCAGCTATCTGAGGGTCAAACAACTACTGCGACCCCATCGCTAGATCCGCCAGTGGAGCTAACTGTTAATCTGTAGAATTGTGATGGTGATGGGAAGAACTTTATCCCAAACGACGTCTTGTCGTCTAAGCTTGTCATGTACGCTTTTTTGTGCCCTACATGTACATGTGCCACGTACAGCCTTAACACACGAACGCCCAAAAATCAACGTTATACATCACTCTATATTACGATACATACTATACATTATATATATATCAGTCCATGTATTTATTGAAGCCCCTTCATGTTCATGAATACAGAGCGTGAGGGTGATATTACTGCTTTACTTTACGGCATATTCTATTTAAAACATGGGCGCGTATACCCACACGATGATAAAGTAGACAACATACCTGCGGCCATCACCTGCAGTACTTCTTTATAACACCATATTACAAGTAACACTTGGGTAACATGGAACCCCATAATGACACGCAGTCATATGTTTTCTGTGTAGCTGTCGTATATAAGGTCTGTTAACTCAATGCGGAAGTTTATAAAATCGACAGGATGGAATTTTGCATGACCCACTTTTATTGTATAAATCTGCCCCTCGCAGCATTGTTACCTGTTCTATGTATTAACCAGCGAGGTATTGAGGATTCGTCAGTCGAATACAAAATAATTTGCAAGGTAAAGTGAAGAAATTACTCATTATAACAGTTCCTTTTCAGAAAAATAAATGCGCTTCGCCACACCGTGTACTTTTCTTAGAATTCATGATTCAGTTCAGTGAAGCCGAGGAAGGCGCATTTTGGGGTTGGCAGAATGGCGTGTACAAGAGATACGAATAAGACTAATCACTTATTTTTTCATTCTGCATTGCTTTTAGATAAGGATGAATTTCATACCGGTGGCCTATTTTGATAATTGAAATTGCTAAGCTTTACTTGCAAGGGTTTCTTTTTACTTTAAATATTTATAGAATACTCTTTTCATAGACAACTCTTACTGTTTATTCATCCAGTTGTATTATATTAAGATCATAATCAAATTGACTCTTATGTTGCTTTTACGTTTGAAATCATGATAAGCAGGAGGATTAGTTCAGTCAAGGAGTGAGACCATTCATGAAAGAGATTGAAAGAAACCAACCCTCAACAAGCACAGTGGCCTGAGATATATCAACTATCACATCTATGATACGTGACAGAGAGTCAGCCCCCGATTATAGAGGGTCCCCTTCCCATTAATTTGTACAGGTAAGCCGATCGCCCTACATTTTGACCCAAGGTCGGGATAACCTTACAATTATAATTAAATGGAGGGCGGATTTTCCGTTATATGGACCCTCGTTACACGGGCCCTGGGGAACATCTCCTTCAGACTGTCACCACGTGACACCAGACAGAACTCGACATCAGTTCACATTAAGAAGGCCAAGATAATTGTGATAAGGTCGAAACGTTGTTACCTCTGATTCAAACATACGATCTAGTATACGAGTCAATTTCCTTATGATCTTAGTATTGTTTTTGAATACTTATTATTATTATTATTAAATGATGGACAAAAAGACTGGGGATGTTTTATATATTTATCAGTTATTGGTGAAATGTAATTACATTGAACATATGTTCATGCAGTGATCATGAAATTCTTCAAAGCCGTAACGGAATGGTGTTTTAATGATTAAAATCTATTCATTGCTTTCTTAACATAAAAACTATAAAGATGGTGATATGTAAATTTTGATCTATATTTCACCTGAACGTGATCAGTTCAAAAATGCAAAATTTGAAAACGAAAAAAAAATGTTTACCTGGACAAAGGTTATTCACCATGATTACTTCATTCCACGAGAAAAAACACTCATGACACATCGAAACATTAGAAGTAAACAATCCTCAGTATTATATGTGTTATAATGAGAAATATAACGACAGCGGTCTGGAGCTTTCTAACATTTATTCACCAACTTTTTCTTCATACAACTTCACAAATATTTAAACTCAATTTCTCCGTACTGATCATGCATTTACTTGTTTTTTTTCCATTGTCTTTGCGCGATTACAAGAAATTTTCCATTATCATGTTGTGAGTCACCGTGCAACATTTCCTTATTAGACAATCCCTAAGATACTTGTTTTCAATTAAAGCTATCTAAAATATTATTTGAATTTCTCATGCTTGGACCTTATTCAAAACTCGGTTATCATGTGATAAACAGTTGATCAAAATTAAAATATGTTATGAAATTAACCAATCACATAAACTGTTTCTGACTTTGACCTTTTCCATCTTTTTCTGACACTAAAACATGTTCTACACTTGTTGACTCTAGGTGAAACTTAACTTACACTCAAACACTCTCTATCCTTTTACTCGTTTGATTCAATTTTAATTATTATCTGTACTGAAAGTGTAAGTCATTTACTTTACAACATACACCCCTTCTTCAAAAGAATTCGTCCTCGAATTCTAAAGCTTTACAACATACGCTCCTTTTTCATCCTTTTTTTAAAAGCAAAGCAAATGCTAAATAACATAAAATACGTAAATGTTTAAAAAGCTGAAATGACAAGGTTACAGGTCTGTCATCAATGTAAATGTTATAAGTAAGTTCTTCATATTCTGTAAAATAAAATTAAAAAACAATAATTATAAAAAAATAATTTTCCTTAAACACTTCATTTCTATCATAAAGTCGTACAGAAATATAACTAAATAAATTAATTCTAAGTAACTTAAACATACTATTAAAAACACATTCGACATGAAACCAAAAATATAAGTTGAAGAAAGAATAATTAATAACTTTTTATGGAAATGTATTTGTTCGTGGAGATAGTTCGTATTGTCATTTATATCGTAATGAAAATGATTAAAAGTACAGATACAAAGTTGTGATTGTAATGAATACATTGTACCTTTCATAATTGATACAATATACATTTGTTAAGAGGTTAAATAGTGTAAGTAAGAGAGTTAAAGAGTGCATGTGTTGTTCAATAATAAAAAAAGAATAAGGGAGTATAGTTATCATTCCTTCAGGATGATACAATGAAAAATCTGTATTAATAGAAATGGCGACCTAAGGTCAAGTAACATACCATTGCCTAATAAGAGAATGATTATATTTTGGTATGACGTAATGATGGAAAGTTATGGAAAAAGGGATAATCATAGACATTGTGTAAGAGCTGAGGAATTATTACATTACCAAATAAGGTAATGTAGGAGAAAGACTTTGTGATACATCATGACATTGGAATGATGATCTATAGGATAAAAGAGAATGCATTGTAACTGTAAAATAAGAATATACTAATAAATCTTTTAGGCCCCCAAAAGATGTATGTTCTTCATTTATAGTACTGGCTAAATATCGGTACTATATTTACACCATTTGATGTGTAGTCCAAGAGCACAGATACTTTTTATTAGTTTTCTCATGCGGATATCGAAATATATTGCTCTCCTATTATGGTTCTGACACACTTTATTATACATTTTGCTCTTTCGGTTGTCATTTAAGACATAGGAGGAATGCACTACATGAGACAATATTGGGTCGGCCCTCCCCTGTCCAATGAAAAGCAATCACCACAACGTTGCGACCAGCGCAGCGTTCATGACGAAGTACCTGTTCATCTTCGTATTTGTCCACACTGTAGCTATCCTCTGTGATGACTATAAAGAAACGCTTTGTTCATATCAAATTCAATCCACTAAAATTATGCCGATAAATACGTAAGTCGCAAAATGGGAGAATCTTCCTTAGTGCATATCAACAGTTTCATGTCATCATTATTACAAAGTTAAATACATTGTTTATATAACAATCATCATCTGTTCAAATATCGATAACCAACAATCATAAGATCAATAAGCCAAATAGATTTATATTTATAATACGTCACACATTTTATACATAATACACAATATGCAATATGTTATTAACATCTAAGGACATCTTCGTCTTTTTTTTCAGCTATTCAT